CCAGGGCACCTCCAGCCCCGTCCCCGCCGCTTCCCCAGGTAAAGAAAGGCTGGGCATGGCCAGGGCACCTCCAGCCCCGCCGGTTCCCCGGGCAAAGGCCGGGCTCGGTCAGGGCACCTCCAGCTCCAGCCCTGTCCCCGCCGGCTCCCCGGGTAAAGGCCGGGCACGGCCAGCCCAGCTCCGGCCCCGGCCGCTGGAACCGCTCCCGCTGAGGGTTCCCTGCCTAATTAATACATCATCACACCTCGCCGCTTAGTCAAGCCCGCCTGGATGAGCTGGGGATGGATGTGCAGGGTTCATGTGGAGCTGCTCGGGTTACTGTGCGGAGCTGGAGCTTAGGTTGGTCGGTGCTAAATCGGCTGTCCCCGGTTTGTGACTGCGGTTCTGCAGGTGAAATGAAAGGAAAATTCAGCAGAGCCGGTGAAATGAAAACTCAGCCGGTCGCAGCCCTTAGAGCAAAGCGGGCTCTGGAGGAGCAGGTTCGGCCCGCTCCAGCTCCCAGCTCCCAGCTGCCGGAGGCTGCAGCGGGCTCTGTCCTGAGGTTTGATCTCAGGGGAAAAAATCCTTCCTGGGAGCAGCTCTGCATCACAAGGCCTGGCCCTGGACTCTGGCAGAGTCAGAAAGCTGCACATGAATTACCTCGGAAAAAGTCAGGCTCTGCTCGACGCCTGAAGTGATGGAGGAAATACCAGTTGTAATCATAAGCACCCAGTACAGGTGGAGCACAGAGAACTGTGAGAGCTCTTCAGATCACAGCTGGGGACAGACCATCCATCATCCCTGCCTTGCTGAAGATATCCATATTTTATCGGAATTACATCAGGGAATTCTGATCCATTTGACGTGTTAACCCTGTGTTTTGCAGTTTGCTGTCTCCCCATCTTTCAGTTCATTCATGTCAGTTTATTTCCAAAGCAATGCAAACACTTTATTCCCTGGTTTCATACATCCTGACCTGCTCCTGAAAACCCCACAGATAATCTGTGTTATTAACCACGAGAAACGCACAGCAGTGAGTGCATCACTGTCATCTCTCGCTGCCCCCAGTTAGTCCCGGTCTAACCCTTTTAGCCCCAAGAGAAACCTGATTATAACTTGTCTGTCGGGGCTGAGGCGGATTTTACGCAACCAATGTCGTAATTATCGAAATGATTACTCTATCAGTCAGCAGCTTGTTTGACCACAAGACCTTTACATCTTTTTGCTGATTCTGGGCTTTCTGAAGCAAAGAGAAATGGTTTCCTGGGTGTAAAGGCAACTCCTGCAGCGCTCGGGATGTGTCAGAGTAGCCCAGCATGCATCCACTGTCAGAAAATTGAACAGTCAATAGGAATTCATTAATAGCTGACTAAATTTTCTATCTCCTCTGGTTTTATTCTACTACTTGGAATGGTGGCCCAAAAAAAATGATCAAGACTGGGTTATTTCCTCACTTCTTGACCCTTTCCCGGAGGAAATCTGCATTGGGCAGTCACAGAGTAGAGCAAAATGAAGGTAACTCATTTAATTTTTAATTTGAGGCAGCAATTTTCAGCAGTGACCAGACCATAAGGTCTGTATTTAGTCTCCACCTTGCAGGGTGCAGTTAAACTCATTCACAAACTACATAAACAAACTCCCTGAGTTTACAGCCCTGGCAGAAAGAGTCACTGAGGCAGCTGCTTAGAGCAGAGCCCAGTTTTAGTGGAGTTCTCTTAGGGCTTGATTGAGCCCATGGGCTGGAACTCACAGATCAGCCTGTGGGAGATGAGATGCACCCATAAATCAGCTGCCTGGTCATTTTGTGGCTTGCTGAGTATGGAAAACCTCAAATCTTACATCTCCCCTCCTCACTGCTCGTGTTCATATCTCGTTTTCCTCCCGGATGGCTGCGGATGCCCAGGCGGATTCTCTCGGAGACAGATCGGGGGAATCTACGGCTCGGGCTGCAGGTGCTGGGAACGTGGCTGTTCAAACATGCTGGCAGCCTGTAACCTTTGTGCCAAAGTTACTCATCCCAGTCCCACCCACAGGCTTGGCACGGAGCTCTGCACCTCAGGAAGCCTCCTGGCTCCTTATCACGGCGATAAAAGCAGCGTGCGTTTGTACTGAGCTCTGTCTGCTCCAGATTCGCAGCTGCCTCGTCTCCCTCGCTGGCTGTGCCTTGCCTCAGCAGGGGGAAAGGCAGCCACACAAATTGGCCCCAGGAAAGAGGGGGAATATCCCTGGGATAGAGAACTGCCCGGGATAAATGGGCCTCCAGAACGCCAAAGCCTCCTCAGTGAAGCGGGCCAACATCCTGATGCTAGGGCTGGATTCTGCGGGGAAATCCACGCTGCTCTGCAAGTTGAGGTACAAAGATGATTTTCTGACAATGCCAACGATTGGCTTTAATGTGGATATGATTGAAGCAGGGAAAGATTTTACACTGACAGTTTGGGATGTTGGAGGACAGAAGAAAATGAGAGAGCTCTGGAACAATTTCCTGGAAGACACCGACGGGCTGCTCTACGTGGTGGACAGCTCTGACAAGCGCCGGCTGGAGGAATCCAGGCGGGAATTTGAGCTCATTTTAAAGAATGAATCCATAAAAAACGTCCCTGTGGTCGTGCTGGCGAACAAGCAGGATTTGCCTGGAGCTCTGAACGCCGAGGAGATCACCAGGAGGTTCAAGATGAAGAAGTACTGCAGTGACAGGAACTGGTACGTGCAGCCCTGCTGTGCCATCACGGCAGAAGGGCTGCCAGAAGCTCTCCAGAGAGTGGCCACGTTTGCCAGGCAGTACAGCAAGTCAAAGGAGACTTTCACCACCCTGAAGGAACTCACTGCCTTTTAAGCATTTCTATCATCCACTTCTGGTGACTCTTAACAGATTTTGTTGGACAGATGAAATCTGGGAATACTGAATCGTGAAGAACTTTTATACATAAATATTTATAAAGGACTGTGACAATGTTAAATTCTACTGTTATACCTGCAGATACTTGATATACCTGCTAGGATATCTCATACCTGAGACAGGACTCTGTAGCATTTTGTTATTATTATTTTTTTATTTACTTGGGGTTATTTAAGTTGAATGATGAGAAAGGGGCAGTCGAGCACATGGAAATAAAATAGGTGAGCAGTGTTTAAGTGGCTTAAAATCAAATGAAGGTTCAAATCAATTTTTTTCACTATATAAACCAGCCAAGTCATTTGGTCAGCAGCGACCAAATGATGTTTTGTAATAGATGCTCCATGGATGTCTTTCTGCTTGAACACAGAGTGGGGTGAGAGCTTCAACTCTTAGCTCTGTACGAGAGAATTTGGCTGTTCCTGAATTGCAGAAAATTCC